TTGAACATGAACATGATTATTTATTAACAAAGGCTAGCTTAAAACTAAAAGCTAGTATTTTCCTTTATTAATAAAACTTGGGGCGTTACAATTTCTCTTCTTTTTAGTTAAGATAATTCAAGATTTATATCTCTCCTATCCATTCTATATTTTATTATTTAAATTTATTACTAATGAGCTTAACTCGTTTACCTGTTTATTTAATATTTCTATTTCTATATCCCCTTTATGTAAACTATTGCTACTATGAGGTTCTTCAATTTCTTGAATTTTTAATAAATTATTTTCTGTCATTTTTCCTAAATTTGTAGGATTACTAAATGATCGACTACTATGTTCTCTTAAAAATTCTTTTTTGATTCTATCATTTTTAATAATAGTACTTGTTTCATTAAATATTTTTTCTGTATATTTTCTTTCTTGATTTTGATAATTCATACTTAAACTACTATTACTTAATGCATAGGCTATTCTATAACAAAACAACCATAGGTATATCTCCTGATTCCATTAATTTTTTTTTTCTTGAAAATTACATATTATTCCTATGCAGTTATTAATTTTCTTGGTTGATAATGGTATAGGAAATTGTAATTATATAAATTTAATTACTCCATACCCTAAATCTCTATCTATTTCTCCTAACTTTCTTGATTTTTTATGCATAATTCTATTATCTTCAACTCTTATATTTACGGGTGTTTTTATTCCTTCTCTAAATGTTGATCGTAATACTATGTGTACTGTGTTTATATGTATATAACTTATCTTTTTCCTATCTTCTTCTTTTATTTTTTCTAATCTTTTTTCTATTTGATTTATTTCAACTAAAGGTGCTTGAAAATTATAATTTGCTTGTTCTATTTTAAATGGTTATTCTCCATTCATTATTCCTTAATGTATTTTATTTTTTCTAGTTAATTTTTCTAGGATACCACTATTTATTCCTTTTTTTTTTTTCTAAATCTAAATTTCCCTTATTTTTTACTTTTGTTACTACCTTCTTGTCTAATAATATATCTGATAAATAAATCACTTGTTCTTCTATATTTTCTATAACATGATATGTGTTTTCCATTTTTCTATAACATGATATGCTTTTTGGTTCTCTCGAGCTCGGCTAGTGGTGTTTGACGAGCTCGGGTGGGTCAAATATGGAGGCTGGCCGTTTCTTTCTTGGTTGGGGACCGGTCGATTCGGGGATTGGTTTGGGGTCCGGTTGGTTCTACTGTATAGGCGTTTTGCAGTTTCGGTAGCTGCTGCTTGGACCTGGAATCTCTCTTGTGTCGATCGTTTCACTGCGGGTCGAGCTCTTTCGTTTGTTGAGGAAGGGCCCTGTTTTTGTGTTTTCTTTTGTTGTAGTTGTTTGAGTCTGTTTTACTGAAGTGTTTTTGGTCTGGACTCTTTGCCTGAGTCTTTTATGTATCGTTTTTTTGGTCTGGGCCGTTGGCCCCTGTGTTGATTACCCCGTGGGGGCCGATCCTATTCTCTTGTGGGGAGCGATTCTAGTTGTTGGTAGTAGTTGTTGGTAGTGTTTTGAGTCTGTTTTTAATTCTAGTGTGGCTAGTTGAGGTTCTAGGCGGTCTTCTGAGCTGTCCTCTCAGTTTTTTAGTTGGTAGCTGTATTATTCAGCTATGGGCTGTATTTGCACATTTGTGCCTTTTGGTTATAACAATCTCTATCGTTTTGGCAAAAAAAAAATAAAATAAATTGCATAACACTAATGAAATGAGGTTTTATCTTAGAATTTATAGTTTAAAAAAGACTTAAGCACTTAAAATAGATGTTTGTTTTTCTACTTTCTTTATTAGCTTCTTAATCATGGTAATTGAAGAAATCATTTCGTTACATCTTTGGAAATAGACTATCGGTTCTTGGTTGAGCATCTTCAGGTGTTGAACTATAAATAACTAGATTATCTAACCTTTGTTTATCTTCTTTTAACATTTTTGTTCATACAACAATTTGTTTTCTTAGCAATTTGAGGCAATTTTTATCTTTAAATACTTCTTTTAATGGCATAAACCAAAAATCATTATTATCCATAGTAAATTAAGGCTTCCAATTATAAATAACAAGTTTTAACAAGATAGATATAAGAGTACTTGATTAAGTGAGTCACCTTATTCTGCCTGCTCTCAACACAATTCCAGACTTTTGTGGCCTTGACGCATACCAGCTTTGGCCTTTTCACCGAACTTCCAGTGCTCCAGAGAGACTATTGCTAAATCAACTAACACTTTTAATCTTTCTTCATATATCTTCTAAGTATTTAGAAAATCATTACATATGAAGGCATAAAACTTTTGAGAGATACCTCCCATAACCTCAAGCTCATTAAGTAGCGCCATAACCTTGAGAGCATGCTCCCTTACGGGTGTGCCCTCTGCCATGCGCGTAGTCATCAGAGCACTCATAGCCTCTTGTCTAGCAGCCCTAGACTGGTGTCTGAACAGATTCCTGAGTGGAGGGGAGGGGACAAGGTCTAGCTTATAGCATATTAAAATATTATCCCATTCACAATAAACAAGGCTAGTGTCTTTGGCTTCCTCCAAGATTTCTTAAGACCAACTTAAGCTGACTTTGATCCCTCTTAACCTACATAATAATCGCATGGTCTTGGGCCATAGGGCTTGGGCCGAAAATTCCTGCCTTGGGGTCGTTAATGGGCTCGGTAGGCACGTGCTTGGCACGGCACGAGGCGCGGGTGCGGGGCTCGGCACGGGCGGCTCGGGTGAGCACTAGGGCTCAATATAAAATGTCCAAAGCTCGACTTTGGTATTCTAACACACTTAGAAAAATTATTCTAAGTATTAAAATATCAACTCTCAATTTTTGACTTAGGAAAATATACTCGGAACGACAACTAGGGTTCGTGTCCGGTAATTCCTCGAATTGACTTGCTATTATTTAATAACCCAAATTAATGGATTAACCTTAACTTATACTTGAGATAGAATTATTCAAAGAATAATTTATCATGTTTGAGCATTTAGCATAAATAATATAACTCGATAATTATTGAAACTTACGGATTTCACTTATAGTCGAGCAGTGAAACCGTTTTGAATATAATTACTGTTTTGGGGCGTTACAACCTATCCTCCTTAAAATATTTCCGTCCTCGGAAAT